AGGCCCTGGGTCAAATGGGATGGATCCAACGTTTTTTCAGGCTTTTGGGACATTATGGGCCTTAAGGTCTCCAGACTTTGTGCTTCCATATTTGATACATGTTCTCTTCCTTCGAATCTAAATATTACTAAATAATACAAACTATCTCCCATGAGCTAAAAAAAAATACATACTTTGGAAATCACTTTTAATAATACCAACTATTTAAGTATAGACCAATAGTGATATAGGGCAATTTTCCAATGAAAATCCAGTTATTTAATTCATCAAAAACTAGTATCAAAATATCAAATAAGTGATTATATTTCCAAATATCATTTATTTGATAATTTTCTATTAATTATTATTATCTTAAATGACTTGATTTCTTGTGGAAAAGTGACTCGATGTTATTTTTGGTTTGTACTCAAATAGTTTGTTTTATTAAAAATCATTTCCAAAGTATGTATTATTATTGGTTTATGGGTGATAGTTGGTATTATTTAAAGTTATTTTTCCTTGTTCTAATTCCAAAAAAAAAAAAAGAAACCATTCAATATGGGGGACTGAAGACCAATAGCATTGTGCAGTGTGATTTAAAAAAAAATCAAAGGTCTTGGCTAACCGACTGAAGGAGATACTGGGTTCTCTCATTGGAGAAAATAAAAGTATTTTTATCCCGGGAAGATCTATAGTAGATAACATTATTGTGGCTTTGAAACTCATCATTTTTTGAAAGAGAAGTGTTATGATAAAGAGGGTTTTGTTGCTCTTAAGCTAAATATGAGCAAGAAATTCCAATGGATATCAGAAATTCCACATCCGCAACATGAAACAAAACCAGACCTCAAAAGGAAAGGAGGGGCGTACGAGAAGGGAGAAGGGCGGATTAGATGAGAGGGGTAAAAATAAAGAGTATTTTTTCCCTATTTATAGTGTGTACTAATGTGTACACAAAGTGTGTAAACAAAGCTTTTTTTGTAAAATATATCCTTTAACCGTATCTCCTAAAGAAAAACAAGGCTCCAAATCCACCGATTTTGGGTTAAGGCGGACAGAGATTAGGGATATCCTTGTATGGATAGTTGTCCTCTTCCTTATATGTTGTACCCACTCCTTCGTGCTTCTGTGTGGTCACCGGAGATGGGAAAGGTCTCAAGGGCTATGGCTGTCGCCGAAGAGGGGAAAGGTTGCAGCGGCTATCATTTTCGCTGGAGTGCCCTTCGGCTTGTGTCGCTGGCAGAGAGCACAAGGACTAAGGACCCTCGATGTTGCCGCTATTTGTATTCTGAGGAAAGTTCACAATGGCCATTAATGACGGAAATTAAAAAATTTTATGAACTCGTAGAAATTGAATTCCAATTAAAGATTTCAGGTCCTTCTGAACTCTGTTTGGCTGAGGGAACCTGGGCTGGAATCTACAGGATTTTTTGACGAATTTTGGATGATTATTTTTATCTTTTGGGAGGATCTAACTTGATCAGACTCTCAATGAAAGCACCAATGATGGAATATAATTCCAGCAAGAAGAGCTTGATCTTTCAAATATTCATTGATCGTAGGAAAATAATAATAGTATTATTCATCTGGTGAAGCTCCCTTTTTACAAGATATGCACGCGAGTATTTATAGATGTTGTATTGTACAGTTACTAGGAGGCTTAATTATTGTAATTAATGACTAGTTATAGTAGGACTCTTGTAACGTTAATGTAATAACTCATGTCTTTAATGCCTCTTTTGTGCCCGTGACTCTTCTGATGCCACTTATGTCCACCCCTTATGAAACTATTGTCATGTAAGCCCTGGGAAGAGTCTGACATCCAAGGGATTTTCACTGGATCGGCGCCTGTTGTCTAGGTTGGCTCAGACGTGGTTGACCTCATGATGGATCTGAATCCTCTTGTTCAGGCCATTGTGACTCGTTCTTGAGCTCTAGGGAGAGTCCAACCTCCACGGGATTACCACAGGGCAGGCCCATATCAAATAGTTATTAACATGGTGTACATTAAATACTACAAAGTACTTATTAATTCTAAGCGAGCTCATAATTAAAAGAATTTATTAGATTTGCAGGGAATAAGAAGATAAATAAACTGAATTGAACTACTTTAGATGAACTAACTATATCTATTTGATAAAATAGTTTAGCTTTTTTTGTAACATATTTAAATATTTAACTTACCAAAAAAGGTATATCTGAAGTTTAATGGATAAAAAGAGACACTAAATAGTATTAAACAGAGATTTGTTATATACTACAGTTAGTGATATGAGTATGTAATGTCTCAGTGAATCATATGATTTTAATTCTCTTATGAAAACATGATTATAAAGTAATTTAGCAGTGAAAAATCACAAAGTAATGATTTTAACAATAGTTGGTAACTCTCTTTTACGCGCTTTAATACATGAAAAAGATTGTACGAAGATGTCATGGGGAGATGAGTTTGAAAAGTTGGGAGAACAATACATTAGAAATAATGAGATTGGTGTAACGTAACTTTGGATTGGATTTGGAGAATCTGTGTATAAGAAGGGGGGAAATAATTAAATTATCCCAAACTTTGAAGAGGTGTGAGAGGAACACCTCAATCTTGCATATGTAATTTAAATACCCCAAACTTTATATAAAAAGTTATTTTAGCATCACAGTCAAGTATTATTTCTTTCAAAAAATGTAAATTTATGGTATTAATTGCATATTTTAAAATATTTTAAAATTCATGAAGGCACAATTAACATTCTAAACTTCCATTGTGAAATAAATAATGTTACCCCCAATCTATCTAATTGCAACACTTTTAATTTGCTATTTTAAATTATGCAATTAACCCCATAAATTTCTATTTTTGCAAGACATAATACATGACAATGGTGCAAAAATAACTATTTATATATAGTTTGAGGTATTTAAATTACATATACAAGTTTAGGGTGTTTACCCCAAACTCCTTCAAAGTTTGGGGTATTTATATTATTTTTCCCAAATACTTTTTTATTTTTATATATTCAATATTGATGTCATATGAAAGATAAAAAAAGTAACGAGTATGATATTTGACATATTTTTTTTGTAACAATCGAAGTACAAATAAAAAAGTTATACTTCCTATCATTTTAAAAGTTATAAAAAAGTTACGAATTTTAATATATTTTTTGTAACTATTGGAGTACAAATAAAAAAGTTATACTTCCTGTTAATCTCTTCAGTCTTGGTCGCTTCCGCCTTGGTTGTGCACTTGCTCTCGAATCTTAATCCTCAAATTCTCAATTTTCAAATCACTGGTTTTTGGATTTTGCCTTTTCCTCTCTGGACGACTGAACGGTTGAACCTCTCAAAGGATCCAACGGGCAGAGTAATAGGTATTTTAGTTTACTAATTATATACTCGGTAATTTATTAATTTCATGGGTTTATTTATTTTTACTTATCTAATATACTTCGTTTTGATTAGAATCTTATTTAGTTATGATTCATATAGACGATAATAGATACATTGAATAATACTTAGTATACGATATACTATGTACGAAGTATTAGATTAACAGGAATTCAAGTTATTGGTCGAATTTAATTCAATTGACTTGTGGACTCCTGGAATAGGGGTATTTTGCAAAACACTTTCCATTTTTCCATACAATTTCAAATTGCTATTGACGAATTCATATTTTGCATTTTTGCTAGGAGGTCTCTATCATGACTTACGAGCTTTGCGCTTGATGAAAGTTTTTTCATTTTTTTGTTTTTCGCAGGGATTACATATTTACATATTGCTAGTGTTGACCGACCCTTACATTTTTTAAGATTTCGTTCTGTGGCCCTACCAAAATTTTCAAGTTGTCTCTTCTTTTTCTTGTTATATTATACTCCCTCCGTCCCGAAAACAACTTCCCATTTTCCTTAAATGGATGTCCCAAAATTAACTTCACACTTCAATACTTTCCTTATTTAGCAAATTATCTACATAAAAAAAGTGATAAACAGTGCCAAACAGTGTTTAAACAGTGCCAAACAGTGTTTAAACAGTGCCAAACAGTGTTTAAACAGTGCAAAACAGTGCATTCTACAGTAAAGTCAAATTTATTTCCTAAAAGTGTGTGAAAGTCCAACCGAGGAGTTGTTTTCGGGACGGAGGGAGTATAAAAAAACATCCAAAGAAATAATCATCTGCCAGTGAAAAAAGAGAAAAGGAAGCTAATTGACGAGTAAAATATTTTACTTGCATAATGAATTTTATTTTTTACAATGAAATTTTTATATTACATTCTTACTATATATAAAATAAGGGGCCTATTCTTTTTCTTTTGTCCCGGGTAGGGTTGTAAACGAATCGAATAATTTTGATTTGATTCGTGATTCGAATTCGAAAATGCCGATTCGAATTCGTGTAAGTAGAATACGAATACGAATACAAATCTGTTTTTTGATTCGAATACCTTACGAATACGAATACAAATACTATGATATTCGATTCGAGTAATATTCGAATATATTCGAATTATATATATATATATATGTATGTATATATATTCATACAATATATACTACTTCTTATAAATAAATATAATTCAATGTAAAAATATTAATGACATAATATTCATGTAAATATTTTGCATATTTTAATTTAAACGTTCTTACTTCACCTGGTAAAAATAGCTTAATTTACAATTAAAATTCTCTGTTGATTTGTTTATATTGATATTAAATTTGAAGTGACTTATATAAATATATTTTGTTTCGTATGAAATATGTAATATGAAAATGAGTTAAAAGGAGCAAAATATACATCATAATTTTAATTATTTTCACAATTTAACTTTAATGTTTTTCGAATTCGAATATGCGAATTCAATTCAAAAAAGATTTGAATATGTTCGAATATATCAAACAAATCGAATACGAATATAAAATAAGATTCGAATTTTAAACGAATACGAATACGAATATTCGATAATTATACGAATACGAATAATATTATCAAGTATTCGGTTCAATTCGATTCGTTTACACCTTACGGACTAAGGCCCAAGTTTTTTTTTAATGAAATCCGCCCAAACTGAAAGTCACCATCGACCATTTCCCCCTCATCCCGTCCCCAATAGCTACCGTAGTCCCGTAGGAGCCGACCGCCCGTCCATCACCGTCAACGGCGTAGTTCTCCGCCGACCGTACCTCCCGCGGCCCGCCGTCTCTCCCAGCCTGCAGGCACGCCACCGTCAACTTTTAAGTCTCATATTTCAACTGAAGCCTTCACTTGAATTACGTGTATACTGTTTGGCCATCTGCTTTCTGACTTTGTGCTTGCTGCATAGCTACATTAGTTTTATCTGGTTTAGTTTTAGAGAAAATTTCACAAATAGGATTAAAACATGGGAAAAATTCATAAATAGGATTATAGTTGTTTCATTCTTAAAATAGGATTCATTCACACATATTTTGGGAACTTTTAATCAACTTATTTTTTAATAGGACTTGATAAGTTCTATTTGAGAAAGAAAACATACTTGGTCCTATTTTATATATTGAGCAATTTCTATTAGTTTCGTATTTAAATCTGGCTTAGTTTTAGTTTTACACTTTCACGTTTTCACCTTTATTTTATTTTATTTTATTTTATTTTTTGACCGTGGTTTAGTAATCGAATGATTTCAGTTGCTCGTTTAGATTTTGTTTTAGATTTAGATTTTTAGATGTTGTTTTTTGGATATATTAATTCCTTTGTTTATTATTTATCTCTTTAGTAATTCATTATTAATGTGATTTCTGAGTTTTAATTGCAATAGTAGTAATGTGATTTCTAATCATTAATTCTACGGCCTATCATTAATCATTTAATCTCATATTTCCTTTGTATGTTGTTATTTTTAATATCAAGTTTTCATTTTTGATGAAAACTCTTATTCATGTAAAAAATGGCGATAGTTACAATTGTATTTTACTTTGATGTTGCACTTAAAATTATTATATATACTTATATATGCGCTGAATTATTTTTTTGCCCCCCCACTGGATTGAAATGCTAGATCCGCCCCTGCTACTGCCGTTTAGGATTCAGTAGTTCCATTCACTGATTAACCTGTCACACAGTAAGCTTCCCTTCTGTTTTTTGAATTTTGTTAATATTTTGTTTTGACATTGCTAAAAAAATCAGGTCTCTGCTATTTAATTCTTTTCAGTTTTAATTATTGTTTTGACATCAACGTATACATTATTTTATATCTTATTAAGTGCAATTTTTTCATTTGTTGAGATTTTCTTCTGTTTTCAGTGTTTAGATTTGAATCTGGAAGTGTTCTTAGTTACAAGTCATTATTTCTGAATTTTTTAAAATTAGAATTTAAATATGTTTAGAAGTGCTGGAGTAATGTGATTGAAAATTTGAGTATTGAATGGAATTGGCTGTGTTTGTTGAATATTTGTAAAAGCTTTCATATGGCATATGTATTTGAGAAGTATTTCTCATATAGCTGGAAAGGTATAGGTTCATCTGGCAGAAAGTTTTTTAGTGGGGTTCTGAAATGAAAATCTATGTCCATAGGACATTTGTATCCCGAGTCACCACTTTAGTCCTAAAGTGTGATCTTACTATCCAGTATTCACAGTAAGCTAGTTGTTTGTCTTTCTTTATAGTGTTGGGGATCCACAGTTTAGTGTTGGGTTGTGGGTAGGTCAGGTAGGTGACATCCTAATGTTTAAGTGGTTACATTTATCATATTTAGTTACTACCCATGCTTCTATGATGCTTTTCTGATATGGGTCAGCATTTTTAAAATGTTAGTCACAGATAATGGGTTGGAAAGCTGCTCAGAAATTAATACATCACTGGAAGATTCTCAGAGGTGACAATGTATGTAAACTCTGACTACATATCTTGTTTGCCAGAGCTGTATACATATGCATATTCATGACTAAACAGTGACACACTGACAATTTGTTAGTTGCTTCTTCTGCATTTATTTTTCAGGTTATGATTATTAGAGGCAAAGACAAAGGTGCGACTGGAATCATTAAGCGTGTAATACGTTCACAGAATCGTGTTATTGTTGAGGGGAAAAACCTGGTGTGTAAACGTTTCTTTTTGATGATACTAGAGCTTTGAATCATTTTCATTCATTTCATTTTCATTTACCCCTGCGCTTCATAACAAAGAAGCGCAGACAGTTTAGTGAGCCATTTTGCTTTATTCCATCATATTCTCAAGCCAAAAAATAATGAATCTTTGGCTCCATTGCAAATGATGGAAAAATACTAGAGCTTTGAATAAAAAAAGAAATTCTAAGCCTATTTAAGCAGCCTTTCCCCCTTAAACATGCACTATCGTATCATCTTTTTACATTTTAAGGATCTATATGGCCTTTGTAGCAGTAACCTATCTGTGTGAAAGCTGCTTTTGAGTAGTAGAAGCGCTTTGATTAAGAATGCTGTTGCACAAAACCAGATGACACTTTCTAGGTAGAGATATCATTGAGATTGACTAATTGTAAAAGGAGCAGTTCAAGGAAATTATTCACAAGCTATTAGTTGGAGGTTTGGAGTGTTAGATTTTCAGACCTTGAGAAGTAGGTGAAACAGAGCCTAAAGATGGTAATTGGCTAGAGATGTTATTCTAGAAAGGAAGATGATGCATAAATTTGTTGGAAGTCATCCTGCCTCATAGTTCATATTTCATGGTCTTAATTTCGTATGAAGCAGCAGGTTCATATAGAAAAAAAACTATATACCCATTTTGTGGCAAAAATCATTGACACAATTCCAATTTTAACCTTCCTATGATTTAAACCTACATATTTATCCTTACCATATTTCCCCAACACCCACACTCCCATTATTGTCTAGCCATCTTCATGCATATGTTTCCCACTCCATTGTCATTTATAGACGCCCAGTATTTTCCATCACGCTTGTAGACATATACCATTCATACAGAGATGCCCATAATATCCTGTCGAGCTTGTTACACAAACTTTATCCAATTGAACATTTTAGGTTTGTGGAGAGTTCTTTAATTGTTTCTTCAGAGATAGCGACTTCCGATTGGTTCTTGGAGATTGTGACTTCTGGTTGTCTTGGGAGATTGTGACTTGCGGTTGGCTTGGGAGATTGTGACTTCCATTTAATTCCTGGGAAATTGTGACTTCTGATTTGTGCCAAAGCTTCCCGTTGGTCCTCTGGAGACTGTGATTTCCAATTGTGGCTTTCAGTTACTTCTTGGGTGATCAAGAATTAGCAGTCCATGCCCCAATGGCGCTGTACATAGTTCCTTGCTGAGAATAATGGAGAGAGAATTTTCAGCAAGGTGAAGATGGCTACAGAGTTTGAAGTGCACGTTGTTTGGAGAGAAGTTTTTTGGTATTATTAGACCAATCGATAAATGAAGGATAATAGCAGAAATTTAATATCTATTTTTTAATAGTGTATTATTAATTAAAATAGGGTTTCCATATTTTGATAGTTTCCTATTGTAATGGAATGGCTTACCCATGTGGTAGCCCTGGATGCCATATATATAATAAACAAGTGTCCAAATTACAATAGGAAACTATCAAAATATGGAAACCCTATTTTAATTAATAATACACTATTATTTTTAACCTTCGTGTCCATAAGTTTGGGACTATCAATTTGGGACGGGACTACAGGAGTACATTTTTGCAGCTGTACTTGCACTATCATTAATATTGTTAGTGACCATCTTCTTAGCTGAATTATGGTGTTGCCACGTGTGTACATTTGTGTGTTCTCATTATATATTTATTATCTCTCTTATCATTTTTATGAACCATTTTTTCTCTGCAGGTTAAGAAGCATATTAAACAAGGACAAGGCCATGAAGGAGGAATATTTACAGTTGAAGCTCCATTGCATGTCTCTAATGTGCAGGTTCTAGATCCAGTGACAGAGTATGTATACATTGCTTGTTATCTCCACAACTTTTCCTCTATGTAGCATGTATAAATTGCTTGTTATCTCCACAACTTTTCCTCTATGTAGCATTGTAACTAATGTTTGATTTTGCAGGCGACCATGCAAAGTTGGAATCAGGTACTTGGAAGATGGTACTAAAGTAAGAGTTTCTAGAGGTATTGGAGCATCATGCTCTATTATTCCACGTCCTGAGATCTTGAAGATAAGGACTACGCCAAGACCATCAGTTGGTAAGTAATACTCCACCTACCTTCATATAGGGAATTGGGAAATTGCAACTTCACTTCAATTTTTCTTTAGTATGAAGTGCTGCACCATTAGATTGATGTGTACTAGTAGTGAGGCTCATTGGCTGAAAGTGATGCTGTCACATCACTTATATGTGGTAATAAAAATTATATCTTCAGGAGTTTGCTTGCTGAGGTTGGAAAGAAACTGTCTACAATAGAAAGATAGGAGCTAGCAGTGTTTCTTAAAGTAGCAGAAATTTATGGTGGGCTATGGGTAGATTTGATACATGCATGAAATTGTGTTTGGATATTCAATTGAACAAGTTAAAACTTAGTTTAACAGCACGTTTCCCCTATGCTTTTGAGCCCAATACTAGGACGTTTGAGTTCCTTGGAAGTTAGTGTGTTTTCTCATCTCTCGACCAACTGAGCCCAACTATATTGGGACTTGATATTAAAATATTTGGTCTTTGGCCCTGCTGAAATGTAGCTTAGCCTATGCTCATGTTTGAGTTGTGGGCGTGTGGGTGAGGGGATATCTTTGTGAGCTGTTATTGTTCAGTGGAGATGTTATCTCAAAGTGTGAAGGATTGAATGCACGCTACAACTGTAGTCTACTCTTTCCATTAGAGTCCACTACTAATCTCTATTTGTAATTTTCCAAGGTCACCTTTTCCATTTAAGGGCCTAAACTCTGTGTCAATGCCCCCTATTTCAATGGTTAATTGGTTGTTTCTTTGCAAGGAGTGTAAAAAAGAAGAAGATAAAATTGGTGGTCGATATGGCTTCCGTAATAATTATTAGTTCAGAATTCAGAACTCCCTCTCTCTCTCAACTAATATTAAAAATAGTGTGGCTCGTGGGATTTGAAAGGCACTGCTGTACCATTTAGAACCAGTATTCTGAAAGGAATTCTCCTTCCATCATTTGCAATGGAGCCAAAGATTCATTATTTTTTGGCTTGAGAATATGATGGAATAAAGCAAAATGGCTCACTAAGCTGTCAGTCCATGCAATTTTGGACGCGTTTGTCACTATGGGTCATCCGGAAACAGTCTGTGCTTTAGTACAGGGGTAAGACTGCGTATATCCAACCCCCCTTACCCCACCATAGGTGGGAGCCTTTGCGGCACTGGGTAAATGAAAATGAAATGAGATATTCTTAATGGAATTCTCAAGTTTTGCTGAATCTCTAACTTCATGATGTAAATGATTTTTAAAGTAAATTTTAATGATGTAAATTTTAATATGGTCTAACATGTCATAATGTCCTCAACACCCATGAAAATTGTCATCTGACACAAAATGTGGTGTGCACATTATCAGCCAAAATATCGAATGTATCAATTAAAAACGTTTTAATAGTAACATAGCATTTCTAACAGCAACATTTGATCCTTAATCCCAAAAGAGATAGCATTTCTATCATTCATCATCATCATTACCCCAGTGCCGCAAAGGCTCCCACCTTCGGTGGGGTAAGGGGGATTCGGATGTTCGCAGTCTTACCCCTGTACTAAAGCACAGAGAGACTGTTTCTGGATGACCCATGGTGAAAATCGCGTCGAAAGTTGCATGAACTGACTGATGCTTCATAGCATTTCTATCATTACTTAAAAAAATACTAATCGAGGCATTATTATGAAAGTGATTACTGTTGAATCAATCTATGAGATGTCTTACTTGATATAGTAGCTTTATCGTTTCAAGTGATGAACCAATCACTTAATAATTCATTTTCTATGGAGTTTGTAGGGAACAAACTCTCTGACTTTCTGTTTTTGTTTATTTCCCCCTAGAGAATTCATTGCAAGAATGTTTTAACTAAGCTACTCTTCGAAGCATCTTTATTTTATTAACCTATCAAAAGAATGTCCTTACATGAACGTGTTTAAATAATCTACTCATTAAAGGTCATTTCTAAATGAATGTTGCACTGTTGGTGACATTTTTCCATTTTCGGTCCCTCGACTATTGTGTCAGTGACATTTTTGGTACTTGACTTTTAATTTTTCCATTTTTAGTTCTCAATTATTGTGCTAGAGACACTTTTAGTCCTCGACTTCAAAGTGTTCCACATTTAGTCCTTTGACTATTATCAAATTGACACTTTTAATCCTCCCACTATGATTTTGACACAATAAGTGAAGGATTAAAAATGTCACTTTTGTAATAGTTGAAGGACAAAAAATGTCACTTTTATGAAAGTCGAATGACTATAAATGAAAATTTTCAAAGACGAGTACCAAAGCTGTCTCTAGTATAATAGTTGAGGACTAAAATGGAAAAAATCAAAGTCGAGTACCAAATGTGTCAGTGACATAATAGTCGGATGACTAAAAGTGGAAAAAACTCCACTGTTGGTATATAAAGATGTCATACGGAGTATTTGAATTTTCAGTGGAACTTAATGATTCTAATGTAGTATTGTGGCTTTATCTGTATCTTTTTCGTAGCTGGTCCCAAGGACACTCCATTGGAAGATGTCATGGAAAGGACATATAACCCGAAAACTGGGAGAGGCATGCCCGATCTTTAAAAAATGCTACTATGCTTGGTTTCATCTTCACAGCTTTGGATGCAGTGAAGTAGTAAGAGAGAATGACACAAGTTGGAGCTTTTGTTTTTGACGTAAAGTTGGAGCTTAGATAACCATTGCAGCATGTATTGGTGGTTTCTGTGACAATAATTTGGAAGTATGAGATGTTTCATAAACATAATTGCAAATGCGCCACTTCTGCCTCTCATAATGTTTTTGGGTTAGGGAACTCGGACCCATCTTAAATAGGGGTGGGCACGGTCCGGTCCGGTCTAATATTTGGCCGAACCCGTACCCGTACCGTTACTATTGAAACGGTTCGGTACGGTTCGGTCTTAGACCCAAACCCGTTCGGTACGGTCCATTTTCAAACGAGACGGTACCATGCCATACCAATACCAAACAATGCCACTTTTTTCATGTGTTTAAGAAAAAATTAAAGTTTAGCCATCCTCCAAAAATCTACACAATTTATCAATTTTCATATACATAGTATCATACTACCTTCGTTCCAAATTGATTTGCAAAGTCAATCTTTTTTTGGTCAAACAATTTCTTTTTATTCACTTAATTAGAATTTCACTTTTTAATTACATTCTAATTTGGCCTTTCAAAAAAACTACTCCGTACTTCGTATATTTTAATTTGGATTTTGCAACTTTAGAGAGATTTTAATGTGGTTTCTAAATATGTAAATTTTAATTATTAAAATTTGTACTCCCTCCGTCCCAATATAAAAGGCACACTTTCCTTTTTGGGTCGACCCAATATAAAAGGCACATTCCCTTTTTGGCAAACAAAACAGTGCAAAACAGTGCCAAATAGTGCCAAACAGTGTCCAAACAGTGTCCAAACCAGTGCCAAACAATGTCTTACCAGTGCCAAACAGTGTTTCTCCTTAAAATGTTGTAAAACGCAAATGTGTCTTTTATATTGGGACGGAGGGAGTATTAATTATCAAGAATTTAACATTAACTTTGACAAAAAATGTTGGCTTTGCAAATCAATTTGGGACGGATGAAGTAATTAATATATTTTAGATAAACTATAGTAGTACAAATTTAATAAACCATACTTCGGTCCGGTTCGGTCCGGTACCGGTTCTCATTTTATGAGAACCGGTCATGGCATTGTTTGGAACCGGTTCGGTCCGGTTCGGGACAAAAATTTTGAGATCCGTTTCAAACCCCATTTATCGGTCCGGTACCATACCGGTCCGGTTCGGTATCATGCCGGTTCGGTATTTTTGCCCACCCCTAATCTTAAACAAGTTGTGCATTAAAATCTAATACTCCGTATCAAATTACTTGACCCACTTTCCTTTTTTGGTGTATCAATTTAATTGACCCGTTTCCCTTTTTGGAAAGAATCCCACTCAAAAAGCAGCTACAGTGCTGCTACAGTACTGCTACAGTGTCGCTACAGTACCAAAAACTTCTTACTTTTAATAAAGTCTACAGTAATTGTCTTAAACTGCGTGAAAAGCAAACGGGTCAATTAATTTGATACGGAGGGAGTAATAGGTATGAATTGTGAAGTCATTTGTTTATTCCTCGGTTTAGAGTGTTTGCTATTGTTTTTTTTTTTCATCCAACCGATAAAGCTATACTACGTATTAATAAACCATTCGCCAGAAGGCTACAATACAATCAGGTATAGCAACATAATCCACACACTGATGTTTGTTATTGCTTTTAAATAAGCACTTTTGAGCTCTTGCTTCAAAAATTTAAAAATTATGTATTCAAATTGGTATTTCTAGTCAAGTCCTTTAAAGCCAAAGTTTAAAAGCAATGGGGAATGTGCTTTTAATTGCTTTCATTTTTTCTATTACACAAATAAGTATTTCTTCATCGTTTACCTTTTCAAAATTACTTTTTCTTTTTAAAAACTCAGGGCCTGTTTACTAACAGAGATATTTTCCTGTTTTCTACTTCCGTTTTTCGTTCTCCAATTTTTTGTTTTTATTTTTCAGTTTCTCTATCTCCAATTTTTTGTTTCTATTTTTTAGTTTTCCATTTTCAAACCTGAAAACACGTTCATCAATTTTTTCACCCAGTTCTTTGATCATCCAAAAGACTGAGGACACGTTTACTTCACGGGTTACTAAATGGTGCTTATCAAGACCCGTGTTAATAAACGGTGCATAAAATAAACAATGTTGTAAGATCATGTTTACTTCAAAAGATTTAAAACACTGTTTAACATTAAAATGTCCAAAATAACCATATACACATATAGACACACAAACATTCATGAAACACAAATATATAATATAATATGTGGGGTCGATCACCTCGTACGTGTACCCATACCCCTAACCTGCCCCTGTACCTCGTACCCCCACCCTACACCCAATTCCACACCCTTAACCCCTACCCTTACCACGATCTTACACTCTACCCATGCTCCCCAACAACCCTTCATACCAGGGGCGGATCCATGTTGATGAGAGGGGGGGGCAGCTGCCCCCAATAAAACTGTATTAATACCCTATATTTCATTAGGAAGAAAAACCGTTCTATACATTTGCCCCCAACCAAAAACTAAAGATGCCCCCAATAAATCTTGGCCGGCTCTACCAGTAATTAAAACAATTTTATGTTATTCATTTTAGGCTAATGGATCGGAAGAGAACAAATATCAATTTAAATGATTTAAGTTTCTAAAAAAATAAAAGTAATTGCACTGCCATGAAGTAAGAACAGACGGAAGGCTAATGAATAGCCAGATTCAAAACGGAAACTGGATGAGTGTAACTCTGTAAGGTGCAATGTGAATTATAGTGCCCGTAGTATAACTTATCTTTATTTATAAAAATGTTAGGAAGCCAACATATTAATTATAACTATATGACGCGACGTAAATAAATCTTTTATCCTATTCTAAATTAAACTACATTATAACACAATTTACACTATACGTTAGAATACTATTTATAGTCTTCAAAACCAGAATTGCATTACCTGACTACTGGTTATTTTATAGAGCTAATAAAATATTTAAGAGTCATAAATAGTGAGATAGTTATAAAAGCATTAATTTTTCATTTTTTTATCAGTCTTAATGAATAGATTGTTGAATAAAACACTTTTATTAAATTGCCACTGCCAGTTCAAGTTTAAATATGTATTATGGACTTGTAGAACTTCAATGCCTTGATAAGTGAATTTTGATGACTAGTTTGAGTAATAGAATCAATAACTAATGTTTTTTTAGTTACTGTCTGGTTTGTTTATAGAAGGGGATTTATTTCATAGTCACAATTCACAATTGAAACTGTAATAGACCACTTTCAAAAGATGAAAACCCGAGGAGAGCACTTGTGATCAACTTTAGTATGAGTTTTTGATATTGTTATACGCTTTATTTAGTTTGGACCAATTCAGAATAAACTTTAACATAGAACAAATACTATAATAGTTACAAAGCACAATCAAAAATAGAAAAAAAACACTTTTGTTGTTCAGTCTAATATAATATACTTAGTTAAAGTTTTTTTCTCCATAAATGTACTTCATTATTATCTTGCCCCCAATAAATTATATTCCTGGATCCGCCACTGCTTCATACCCACCCATAACTACTCGTAGAGGTCGGGGTAAGGAAGGTATAGGCGGGGGTGGGGTATGGTTGGGGTGGGGTGGTAAGGTCTAGGGGTAGGGAGTTGGATGGGGGTAGTGGGTGGGTTAGGGTTATGGTTAGGGGTAATGGTAGTGGGTAGGGTGGGGTAACGTAGGGGTAGGGTAGGGTAGGGAGTTGGGGTAGGATGGCAGTAGAGTGGGGTCGAGATCAGGGTGGGGTCGAGGGTAGGGGAAGGGTAGGGTGGGGGTAGGATGGCGATGGGGTGGGGCCGAGGTAGGGGCATGTGGTAAGGGGTAAGGTAGGGGTAAGGGGTAGTATACGAGGGTGGGGGTAGGGTAGGGTGGGTCGCGGTGGGGTCGAGGTGGTAGGGGGTGGCGGTTAGGGTAGGGTGGATCGGGGTGGGGCCGAGGTAGGGCATGTGGTAGGGGGTAGGGTCATTGTAGGGAAAAAGGGTACGCGGGGTGGGGGTTGGTAGGGTAGGGTATGGGTAAGGGTAAGGGGTAAAGGGTAAGGTACAAGGATGGAGGTACCGGAATGGAATCAACATCGGAGCGGGACCGGATCCACCTCTATGTGTAAGTATGCAAATTCATTGCAGCGGCACTGTAGCATATGCATTTTTCAAATTTGGAAAACTAGTAAAAATCACTTCTCCAAATCATTAAGGAAAACAGAGACATGTCTCATTTTTTTCGTTTTGGAAAACGATTTGGTAAACGAGTTTTTCTGTTTTCCTTTCTCCAGTTTTCCAGCAATTTTCTTTGGTAAACATGTTTCCTGCTTTTCTATTTTTCTGGAAAACTGGAAAATATCTCTGTTAGTAAACAGACCCTCAGTTTTTGGTAATAATCAATTTTCACATAATTCCTAAAACACATAACTTATCAATAGAAGAAAACTAGAAACCATCGTAAACACCCTTAATTTGATTTATTCAACATTAAGAGCCCAATAGCCAAACCGCCTGTATTGGCTGGTTCTGCTGAAATTAATAAAATTATGGCTGACTCTGCTGGAATTCATAAAGTTTTGGCTGATGTGCATGTATTGCATGATTGATGATTATGTTGATTTGTGAAAAATAATAATTTAAAATACATTTTATTAATAAAATAAAGAAAAAATTATATGAAAAAATAGCTAAAATGACTCTACAATAACTTTAGCCAATCTTCTATTATACAAAAGCAAAATGAATTCTGAACAGTATTCCCGCCCATTCCACTGCCTAAATTCAAGTCGGGTCAGGTCTAATACGGGTACAAGCTTTTGTGGGAGATCTGTGGTCCACGCTGCACATAATACGAGTACTAGCTTCAATAACCGATGCTTCAGTTTTAGGGGCTCAAGGAACAGCATTAATGAGTTGTAAAACTTTTTAAATACATTTAATGTGTTGTACGACCGAGTTGATGTTAGACTGGACAAAGCTTTTATCCAAAAAAAGCTTTTCATGTTGCAGGGATTTGGAACTGCGAATTTACTGACAGTTTGGGTTTTGATAATTTAAAAAAACCAAATGCAAATAAGTGGTTAATAATTTCATAATTTATTCTGACAAAGCTTCCGTGGTGTCCTCTCACATTTCCATCAATTGGTACACAAGACATTACATGTTATTAA